TAGCTATTAAAAATCTAAAAGTATATTTGTGCATCAATGCATTATGTTTAACAAAACAATCTACTTCACTGTGATGAAAATTGTCTTCTTCTTTGGGTGATGTCATTTTCACATGTAGAAGAAACTAGTTGATTCAAACTAAAACTTTAAAGACATTAAAGGATTGGGGTGTGAGAAAATGGAAAATGCAGAAAATGATAAAATTCTTCAATTATCATCCAAAGATGTATATGTTTGAATTTGTTTTTTAATTCATACAGCAAATGATATGCTGCCATTTAATCTTTCAAACTTTAGTCTACTTTTGAATGAAAAATTTCAAAATCTAGAGGAGTCTTCCCAATGCCATCTATTTATGATTGAAGGTATGTAAATCACCAGAGTTGTTGTACTGCACCGCTTGAACAAAAGTCATATCATTCCACAGTCTTGACCTTAGTTCAAAACATATATTATTCCAACCAGTGTTTATTCTATGCAGTGATAAGATTTTTAGAGAATTCTAAGGTATAACTTGGTTATAGTCTTTAAAACAACCTTGAACTTTGTACATTTGAATAACATTTCAATTCTTTTCAAAGAATATGCCATGCCACCTAACATAGCAGATATGGTCTCTAGGTTATAATGAAATGTTTCAAGTCAAGGGCAATGATCCTGTAGGAAAATGATCCAAAAATCTATAGAAAATCTCCTATCCATTCTTCACTTAAGATGTGAAGTTTGAAGGTTACAAATTATTGACAAAGGTAGTTATCTCAATAATCTCATGCTTTGACCTTGAATATTGTTCTATACAACTAAGTGCATTACTCCAAACACTATATGTGTAGTAAGAATAAAATTTTTGGAATGATAAAAATATTCAACATATTATCACAGATTATAGGACACTTGCATCTTTAGGGGGGGGGGGGGGAGGGGTCTCATTGAGACCTATTAAATTCAAAATAGGACAAACACAAACAAAATGTATTTACAGTTCCAGGAAAGTAAAAAAATACACCAAACCTAGCTTCTGAATATCTGTGTCATTTTTAGGGGGTTGTAGAAATTAAAAGTAAAGGATCCAATGTATAAAAACCAGACATAACAACTGTCTTCAATTTGAATTGGACAAATAAACAGAAACTCAAGATATTACATGATAATATTTAAATAAACACCCTTGGACATTGTACATTTGATTAATATTTTAATTCTTTCCTAAAAATTTACACCTAATTTTTATAAAGTCTATAAGTTATCACACAATTTTGAAGTTATTGCATTTCAAGACTCATATCAGTTATCTCAGTAACTAATTTTACCCAGGAGAAAATGATCCAAAAATAAATGTATTGAAATCTCCTATTCATTCTTCATTTGTGTACTTATGATGTGAAGTTTTTAAGTTACAAATTAATGTCAAAGTACTCATCTCAATTATCTCATGCTTTGACCTTGACAAAGTGTCTTAAAAAACAAATGTATATCTTCAATTATTCCATATGTAATAAGTATGATGGATGATAAAGATATTCAAGATATTATTAAATCACAGATTATGGGACACTTGCATCTTTATAGGGGATCTTATTGAGACCTATCTTAAATTCAAAATAGGACATGATACATACACAAATAAAATGCATTTACAATTCAAGGAAAGTAATAAATACACCAAACCTAGCTTCTGAATATCTGTGTATTTTCTAGGGGTGTTGTAGATATAAGATGAAAAATTAAGGATTCAATGTATAAAAGTCATACATAACAACTGTATTCAATTTGGACTACATAAATTAAAAGTTATATTTATATACTTTGAAATCTGTGAGAATTATTTTTTTTGAAGATCTCATACTATCAGAAAAACACATTTTCAATACTTTGATTTGATTAAACTTCAGTCTGTTAAATGACTACAATTTATCTATTGTTTTGTATGCCAGCATATGAAGGATATGAATGGGAGAGGATCTAGAAAAATGCACTATCCTGGGTCCTTTCTCTGTCATCCTGTGAACCACAATTCATGATCATCATGATTGACTTAGTTTGAAAATCATATTTATTCATGTGCTTCTTAAATCCTCCATCCATCTCTGGTTTTATATTCTTGTATCAGTGTTCCAAGAGAGTATATTCTGTTAGTCTGTGCATAATTTACTGAGTTCCCCATTGAGAATCCTTGAAAGGAAAAGAAATTATTAGTTGAAAAATTCATATGCAATATAAGCTTAATAGAATTTTAAATATAGAAAAAAAGGGATATAAAATCAAGGTGTAACATCAGATTTTGACTTTTCAAAACTATGGGTAGTAACAGCTTTAGTAAAAGAAAAGAGTAAAGGAATGAGTAAAAATCAGTTTGGTAAGAGAGTTCTTACAGAGAAAGATGTAGAACGAGGTTTGCCAATTAAAATAAAAAGAGATGACATTATTCAGATCATTTCTCATGAAGAATATAGCTAATTATCCCCACAATGGATGGGCCTTGTGATGTCATAGATTACATAGACAGACCCTTGATTGCAGAAGAAGCCTATGAAGAATATAATCATTAATTACCAATAGAGGGTAAGGATTACCTGGATTACCCTGAAAGATCTTTGACTGGAGAGAAAATTCAATTTAAAGATGCTATGAGAGAAAACAGTTGTCAGCAAAAAAAAAAATGTTAAAAACACATGATTTTAACTCCACAGAGGAAAAGAGACCTGAGGATTAATGGAGAAACTCTACACTAAAGTTTTAGAAGACATTAAGGCTCATTTTGAGAGTAACTTTTCCAGTATTTGTTTAACTACAAAATTTTGTTCTCTGATAGAAAAAAAAAAGTTTTCACTTTCATTTGTTGTGCCTTTGACCATTTTAAATTGACCTTATGGTCAAGATTGTGATATACACTCTGATAATCATCTATGATGTCTCTATGATGTTTACCTCAAAAGATTGAATCAAGCGTTTTGTGTTCAAAGAGAAATAAACATATAAACAGATCTGAGATGTTGGAAGCATACACATTAAGTGATGTAAGGTCAAACAAAACACTTGAATTCATTACTAGATTATTAAAAGAAAGAAGAAAAACTCACAGAAATGATATTGAAAGTACCTTCTATGAATAAAGGGTCATGCTCCAAGGTATATTTTTATAAACAGGTTAAGGTCCACAGCAGTCCCCATGCACTCATAAGAAGATCCTGGATGGTAGAAACACCAGGAAATTTTAATGCTATGCAAACAGATCATCTTACATCAGCAATAAAGGTTACAGCCTGAAGACCTAGTCATGAGGGTCATTAAGATGTTTCACTGTTGATCCCCAGGATCCACATTATAGTATTCTTTCCCTGTAAATATAATGTCAATATTAAATGAAAAAGTCAGAATTCATAAGCATTTGGAGAGAAAACTTGAAATCTTTACCAACTATGCTTTTAAGGAAGCTGAGGGTTAATAAATTAACCATCTGATATAACTTATTTCTTAGATATCTGTTAAGATATCTTCAGCTTTTAACTATCATTTGGCAAAGAAAAATTTCATACATTTTAGTTTCACAATTTGATCATTTTTGTATATATTTATATGGAGCTCTTCTTCTCATAAAGGAGATCAATGTAGTCTAAAAATGGCTATGACAACCAAGCCCTCATAATTTCATAAAAAAGGTCATATCATTTACTTATCATTCAATTAATTTCAAAATATAATCAAGCATATGTAAAAAATAAAGATTAGGATTGGATATCTCATTGAAACTTTACCTTCAAGTTTGTGTGTTTCTATGTTGGTTGACTAACTGTGTATTTCCAAAGGAAGGGCAGACAGGCTGAACTTCATAGAGAATGGATTATAGATGGTTAGGAATAAAACATAACTTCCATGTTGAGGACTGTAGAAAATATAATCATTTTGTTAATATGACAAGGAACTGCATGAAACATTGCATGTTTAAATACAGTGCCAAAAAGTTCATGAAAATAGTTCATCATGTTATCTTTAGATAACAAAAGAAGCACAGTTACTGTATTAATATCTCAAATACAAAATGATTATCAGCGTAATTTTTAGACACTAACAGACTTTCTCTTAACAGCATATTCAATTTTGTTTAATACCTGTCAGTACAGCATACAAAAAGACATATACAACATGTAGTCCTACATTTTTTGAAAAGCTCATTACTAAGAAACAAAAGTGAAAATGAAATGATTATGTATGCCATATCACACATATTTAGAATGAAAACAAGGATAAACCTTTTGTAGATTCTTACTTTTTCTTTTATTACATTCCTTATAGATCACAATTTAGTAAGTCTGAATTCCATGGGTAACAGACATAATGCATTTAATGGAATTATATCATAATTTATGCAAAAGGACTTATTAACATTATGAAGTTTCCTTAGTATATTTTAGACAAAATAAGACTGTGCTTATATGAATGTTAGAGATATGAGATCACATAAGATTACACAGTAATTAAATTAAACCATATAATCATGGTTAAATGCAAAGATGACCTTCATAGGAAATGTAAACAAAACAAAGACAAACTTACCAGAATTATCCAATTATATGCCCAATTAAATAATCCAGTGAAACAACATCTTAGCTGATCCTGAAAAAAAGCATACAATATTCAGTGATACTCAATTTAACCTCATTTTACAAAGGAAGTAAAGCAACAATTGACAGACAAACAGGACAGAAATGTAAAAGATACCATATGTATTTTACTAAAATTTTTCTGATTTAAATTTAATCATGGAATGACCCATCATAGTAATATTAAATACACTCTGGGTTACATGCAAATTATATCTTACATGAACTGTGAATAAATACCCCATCTACATTCATAGAAACAGAACTTTTACATAAAAAATTACTCTTTTAACTGATGTCACCATTAGTATGTCAGAATATTCAGGGTGTCCTAATCATATACATTTACTTATAATGTACTCAGTATATATTTTACATGTTGATGTTTGAAATCACTGACTAAATAAAATACATACATGTATATACATGAAGGTTTAAAAAAAAGGGGGGGCACACCTGTTTATAGATTTACAGAGATGCTCAAACTGAATTTTTCCCACTTTCATTGGGCCACTGTTGCACCAGAATGTAAAAAATGTGAGTGACAAATAAGTCAAAAGATTCTGTATATTTCATTAAAAAAGATTTGAGACAAAAGATTCATTGGCATAATATGATCTGATTGATTATCTCCATATCCTTCTTTTGGTCACTGTGATTAAAGATTCATAGAAATATTAGAAATAACAACTGAGAATATCACTTTAGTTGTTTTAAAAGCATGTATCAGTATTTTATAAGATATGCTATGAGGCTCCTCATAAGAATATTTAGAATACTGATCCAATAAAAGGAATGTGAGACAATATGATCATAACTCATGCAAAAAAGATTTATCAACATTTTGAGGATCTCTTAGTCCTAGTGTATTTTAGGGTAAACAATGGCAGTGTTTATATGAATGTTCTAAACATTAGGTATATAACACAGTTATAATGAATAAATACAAAGATGACCTTCATAGAAAATGTATAAAGAAAAGTTTGTTAAAACTTACCATGTTTATACTCAGTATATAGTAATATTCATTAAATAATCCAGTGAACTAATATCTAGCCTGATCCAGGATTCAGCTGTTCAGAACTTTCTTGGAAGAAAAACGGTAGAAAATCAGTTTTGGTAATGAAATCCATAGGACCATACTGTTAACATGAAGTCTCAAGCGCTGTGAAAGTCTGTGTTATTGTGTCAAAATAAGCAGCCATCGCGGCTTGTGAAGGACTAACATGACGTCGCTGCCAAGATTATGACGTCACAATGCATAGGTAAGTTTATCGTACTTTTTGCACACGGCACTTTATAGAGGATGCAAACAGGTATATAAGAAAACACAGGTAAAAGGTATATTTCTTTTGCACACGACCCTTATGTTTTTGCACAGGGCACTTTATAGAGGATGCAAACAGGTATAAAAACGCAGGTAAAACGTATTGATTCTTGTTATAATCTGTCTTGTGTGTGTTATTTGTTATTGTTTTCAGTAAAAAATCCAGGTTGTTATTGTTTTCAGAAAATCCAGTTTGAACTGGTTATAGGGCTGTGTAGACTGTGAAGCGTGACGTCATAATCACATTCTTGAAATGTTTTGCACACGGCGCATTTACCTGTGCAGTCAGCATATTTTTTTTTTGCACACGGCTCTAAACAAACTTGGCTCGCTGCCAAGTATTTACCTGTGTAGTCAGCATATTTTTTGCACACGGCTCTAAACAAACTTGGCTCGCTGCCAAGTATTTACCTGTGTAGTCAGCATATTTTTTTTTTTTTTTTTTTTTTGCACACGGGCCCCCCTGACTTGAATCGCTGCCAAGTATTACCTGTGTAGTCAGCATAAACAAAACGTAGTACTTACGTATAGTGTAAACACACCCTGTATTTAGGGATAGGTTAGGGGATAGGGTTAGTTAGGGTTAGGGTTAGGGTTAGGGGGGTAGGGGATAGGGTTAGTTAGGGTTAGGGGTTAGGGGGTTAGGGTTAGTTAGGGCTAGTTAGGGATAGGGGGTTAGGGTTAGAACTGCACTCAGTTGACCCGGTCATCCAGTCAGCTTCCGGCTAGCCCACTTCCGCTAGGGCCCACTTCCGCTAGACCACTTCCGGCCACTTCCGCTTCCGGCTAGCCCACTTCCGTCCACTTCCGGTTAGCCCACTTCCGGTTATGACGTCACTTCCGCACTAGCTAGAATGCTTATACTACTGGGGGCAAAATGGGGATTAAATTTTCTGAAAGGAAAATCTTTAAAATCTTGCTGCATATACAATTAAGACCCCACTTACAGAGACAAACGATGAAATTGGGAAGTTTCACACAAATTTAAAGCAATATGAGCTGCAACTTTGATGTTGGATTTTTTTTTGTTGCAAACTTTGTAAATAACTATTTCAAAGACAGAAACAAATAACATTTATAAACTACTGTTGTTCATATTTGCGATGGAAGAACTATTTACAATCCTCGATTTAGTCAAAATTACATTACTGTCGTACTGTACAATAATGATTTCTTATATAAAACTGTATATTGGATTGTATATAGAAGTCTTTCTTCTGCTTTATTTTAGTCGATTTGATCATAAAGGTTTAAGTTACATACAAATTTATCATAACAGCACATTTCAACAGCAAAATAAGATTTTAAAAAAGCAGCTCATGTTGCTTTAAAATAAAGCAATTCAATTTTCTTGAAAAATTTCTCCTTGGCAGAATAACTAGCTGATTAATCTAAAGATATTCGGATTAACAATCCTAAAAGTTTTCCATCAAAATATTTTCAAGATCTGTGAGCTTCAAGACTACGGCCGATGGCAGTGGAATCAACAAACATTCATTATGGACAAATA